TAGGACTGTTTCAAGTGTTGCTTTCAAAGATCTGTTGTCAGTTGGAAGAAAGATGAAGGAGATAAGTGAAGGTTTGTGTCAGGGAGTTCTTACCTTTGGGATATTTGTATGCTTGTCTGTATGACAGTGTGCTCATTGTTCATACAACCAGTTTGCAATCTGGGGTTGAAAAGCTAGATGGAGCTGTGGAGATGCGTGTCGTGCAGCAGCGTTGAGCCACTTTTGTTGTGTTCGGGGGCACCAAGACTGTGTCAACTGAGTGAGCTGTGTGAAGTCTGATAATGTTCTTGAGTGATGTCACTTGAGTCAGCACCTGTTGAAGACTACAAGTCTGAAAGAAAAAACATTTGAAGGTGTGTAGTTAGAAAGAAGTGAGCTCATCAGACTTCTGTGGCCCCCTGATCATCTCTGCTGCAAACTAGAGGCTCCAGGATACGTCAGTTGCCACTAACATAACACACCCCAATCTGCCAACCCACTATCAGCAGGTTGAGTTGCATTGTGGGTAATGTAGGCATCAGGTTTTTGACACAGGAAGAAGATATCTCTTGTTCTGCTGCATCAGTCTTCTGTAGCTGGAGTCAAAGCTAGTATGTGTTCGTGTGTAAGCAGAAGCCCAACTGAAATAAATAATAGCCAGCCACCACTGCAATGGAATATCATTACATTTATTATACTGACAAAAGAACACCCTGTATTACATGGTAATATTCAGCTTTTGTAAAAAAACAAAACAAACAATAACAGTAATAATGAATCAGGACATCGCAATTGATTAACTGAGCATACCGGTATTTAAGAAAATATCACAGAGTCGCACTCTTTCGGGGCATTTATTTACATCATTGTGTTGTTTTATTCAGTAAGTCCTCTGGTTTCTTTACTTTTACAGAAAACAAAATTTCCTTTCTTGTGTTGAAAACTGAATATTCAACCTTTTATCCACTGGTGAGTTAAAATGAAGGAGTGTATTTTCTTTCTTTCTTTATGGTCATTTATGTTTCTCTCAGTGTTATTAGGGTGCTGTTTCTCCTCTCTACATATCACTGTTCTTAACCATCAGCTGATGCTGATTTTTATCACAAACTCAGCACTCATAGTTTTAATTTACACACAGTAATGTCACACTCACAGAATACATCTTCAAGTTACAGTATATAGAGAGTCATAACAACACAGCAACACTGATATAGTCATTTGTTTGTGTACATAAGTACATGGACATTGGATGATTGAATATTTTATGACTTCTTGTGCTTCTTAAACACTTTATCAAAGGGATAGTTTGGATTTGTTTGAAGTGGAGCTGTGTGAGGTACTGATTCGTAGACAGTGCATTACATACAGTACATGTTATTCCGCATGCCCCCACTTTAGATAAGCAGGCTGGAGTCCAACATGGAAGCTAAGCAATGTACTGCTGTAGATGGGAATCTGTAACAAAACATATTTTAGCCACCTTAAAAAAAGTCCCATCTACAAAAACCTTCACTAGTTTCAGTGTATATTGAGAGTATTTCCTTTTATAGATTAATTTGGGGGCTTTTATTGCACTTATTAGTGCAGTTGCAGAGTGACAGGAAGGGGGAAAGACAGGGAGGATGATATGCAGCAAAGGGCCATAAGTTGGATTTCAATTTTCAATTTAAATTTTACAGACGTGCAATAGATGTTGTGTGTACAAAACAGATCAACAATCAAATCAAGCCCGGCTCGCTGCAAAGGACTCAGCCTATATGGTGCACACTCTACCAGGTGAGCTGCAGGTTGTTCCTATATTGAGTGTTTTATTGCTTTACCTTTCTGTCAGGCCGCCTGTTTTAACATGGAAGCTGTTACATGCTTTAGTTTCCCATCTATGCTCTCCAGTGTCAGAAATTAGCAAGGGCCATGAGCCATTTCGCCGCAGTTTATCCAAGAATGCCCCCAAAAGCCATGTTCCGGGGGCCAAAATTGTCCCCAGGTTTTCAAAACAACTATATGTATTTATATTTTTAACAGTATTACAATCTGACATTAAAGTATAATTTTATTTTCATTAAATTAATTTATCGTCACGTCTACAACTCATTTTCCAGACATAATGAACGAGATTGCACTGATTACGTGAGAGTAATCTGACAGAGAAGGGGAGGGGGCTTTGCTGTACCATAAGTATAAATTAACCATTTCTTGGGTGATCTGTGTCTACACAATCACAAATTAATGAAAAATTAAGGTAGAATGAATGTTAAATTTTAAATTAACTTACTTCCAGGATTGCATCTAAGGAATTTATAGTAATTTTGGCCTTTTTAACAGTAAAAGTAACTGTAATGTGGTGAAACATTAGTACTGCTATCAGTAGATTAATGGTTAAATCATCACATTTAAACTGGTTGAATTATAGGAAATCTGAGTGATATTTTGCAACCATAACTTTATGTAACCCATTATTTATTTCATTTATAGTGGTTTCTACTGAAGAGTGAAGACACTATCTTAGTTGGTTTTGCTTTTCATGTGTTTATTGTTAGAACATAATTACAATTTTTTGATGGCCCCCAAACATTTTGAAAATGCCCCCATTTTTTAGACCGTGGGGGCCAAAACTGCCCCCAAAATATTTTGTTAATTTCATACCCTGATGCTCTCATCATTTTAAGATCCTTTCATTGGTTTATAAAGCTCTTAATGGTCTTTGTACTACCTATTCATCAGATTTGCTTTTATGGTATGAGCCGTCAGGTCTTCTGGTAGTGGCCTTTTAATCATCCCCACAGTTAGAGCAAAAACCCACAGTGATTTCATAAGTATGGTTCACATCTGTCTGAAGACCTGAGGGCCGCATAGAGTGTTGATGAACAGCAAAGCCTGGCTTGTATTTGAACTTTATGCCTTTTTTATTTATTTTATCTATTATTAATTTGTTTTTATAGCTGGTATATTCTTCTGTTTTGTTACTTATTTATTGACTCATTTAAAATTGTTTTCTATTTTGAGTTTTTATCCTGCCTCAGGTGTTTCCTTAGTTCCCATTTTTTTATGAGTGCTGTTATAATTTTAGTCTTTACCATTACAGTCTTTACTTTGTGTGTGTGTGTGTGTGTGTGTGTATTCTGTTTCTATGAAAAATGCTTTATAAATCAAGTTTGATTGATTGAGTAATCAAATCCACCAAACTCCATTGAGAAAATCAGTGATTTAACATTGCTGAACACAGGAGCTGCTGATCTATCACTGCCCCGATCAGTTAGTTAGTTTGTGTCATTGTGTGACTTTGGTGAATCTAAACCAACTCTTTTAAATGCCAAAATCACACAATCACACAAACAAACTAACTAAAGAAGGCAGCAGTAGACCAGCAGCTCCTGTTTTAAGCAATCTTAAATCACTGATTTCCTCAATGGAGTCTGGCTTTGAAGAAAGCGATGTAACAGCTTCCTTTTCCTGTTGGAAATCACTGTCTGACAATAAGGTAAAGCAGTGAAGAATACTCTTAATGAAGCTTACACTTTAAACACTGTTCTCTTTTTAGTGGTTAAAATACGTTTAGCAGTAGATTGCTTAGCTTTCATGTCGGATTCCAGTCTGCTTCTGCAAACTGGGGGCGTGTCAACTGATATCTATTGTAGGTACTAAACTGTTTATGGATCAGTACCTCAGACAACCTCACTTCAAATATCTGAACTAACCCATTAAAGACACTGTCAGAGGGTTATTTTAGCCAAATAACAGCTCGTCCTTGTTGCTGAAATACATAAAGGCCATAGCATGGGCACATACAGCAGGTGGGTCGGTAACATCAAGGGCACCTCCTGTAATTATACTGAACCAATGAATGACAACATGTCAAGACATGAAAATATTTGGTCCTAATGCATTCTGTATGCTCAACATCAAGCACTCACATCACAGTTAACAGAGCGGTTAAACAGGTAAACCAGAGCAGTATGTGTACATTATATTTGTGCAGCTGTTGTCTGCGAGGCTGAAATAGCATCATTCCTCACCAGTGACGTCCCAGTTCACCCAGTCCGAAGCTTGTAAACAAATGCATGAGGGTGGTGAACCCTCTTTTCTTTCCTCTAGGACTTCATCGGCTCCTCTACAGTACATGCGCCTCCCTGTCCCATCTTCTATATTTGGCTGGCCTGTGACCTGGCTGCTGCAGACTGAACTCTGCTCAACGCATTGTCAAAACAAGGGGCTAATCCTGCCCAACAGGTGCTAGATACACACTCACACACACACACACACACACACACACACACACACAAGAGAATCTGTCCCCCTGTTTCCACACAACACAAACACTGCGTCACCAACTTGTCGTGACACTGTTGCCAAGGGGAAGCAGAGGTTCACGCTTTCCAAAACCAGCCCGAGAATGCTGGGGGTCAAGTGTCAGAGCAGGACACATGCTGAATGATGAAACGGACCAGCGTGAAGAAGACTGATGTGTTGCTATCAGTATATCATGTCCGTGGTGTCCAACAGTTTGTGCACAGCTGTGTGTTGTCACCAGTGGTGGAAGAAGAACTCAAAACCTTTGCTTAAAGCCGGGGTAGGAAGTTTCATTTTGGCATTACTGCACAAATATCCCAAAATAAACTTTGAGCATATTGTAGTTATAGTGGCCTGAGTGAAAACTAGACTTCTGCACCTCCTCTTGGCTCTGTTTCCAGGCTTTAGAAAATCTATCCTGTGGCGGGAGACTCCAGTCAATCACAGGTCATTTCAGAGAGAGTGTGTTCCTATTGGCTGTTCTACAAAGGCAGATGTGCGTGCACGTCCCGTCAGTGACAGCCTGACTCAATGGTGGAGAATCCCACTGAGAGAGTTACGACTCCAGAATTGGCAACAACTGTCTACACTGCAAAGCAACCCAAAAACGCAAGACGGACTCATCAAAATAAAAATCTAAAATAGAGTCTGAATATCAGCAATGTGTTTCAGAGATGGAGATAAACGTTTATGTAGCTAATGTTAGCGAGCGCCTTGAATCACAGTGTGTCCTCCGCCTCACTCCCCGCCACTACAGACCACCTCACTGGGAGGTGAGTGGGCAGCAGCTCCGGAGACAGACCCCTAGTTAGTGGCCGAAGCAACTGGAATCTAGCCAGCACAAACCCCAGCTCTGGTGGACTGGACAGTCCAGACTGTTTGCTGGATCAGCAAACTTTCTGTTGCTGCTGTTACACAAGTTAGACCCAGCACTGCTGTGACACCCAGTGTTGGAGGGTTTGGGCAGGTCAAATGACATGCCCCAGGGATGACATTTTTCTGTGCTGACACGTAAGTTAGCATCGCACTGGTTCCCTCGTCAAAAAGCCTCTGGAATTTTCCCATCGGATTTAGGAATGCTGCAGAAAATAAGCTCTGTGGCAAACAGATGTTTATGATTACAACATAACATTCAACAAGACAGTGAAGCCGTTTTCTGCGCGATGACGTTCTGTAGTCTCATTTAACCATTTGTTAGAAACCGCTTTTTTGTAAGTCATGTAGAAGCCTCAAAGTTCAAGAGTAGGGTATTTACTGATGTATTTTATGTTGTAGAGCAAAACGTGAGTCTCTTAAGCTTGTGTAAACCAACCTTTTGACTTTGAGACAAGGGAACCGGGAGTGCTAACTCATTTCCAGGTTTTAGGACTCTTAAGTGGGGCACTCTATTCAAGCTGCTATAGCCAACGACCCAAGGTGGGACTTTGGAGCTTGCACTCACTCTCTGCTCAGGGAAGCAGCTCAGTAGGGAGGAAGGCGTAGGGACAGCAGGGTGGCTGACATTAGGTAGCAAATTCTTGTCTTACGGAGCGACCGAATTCTTGGCAAGGAGGGGCTAAGCGAATAAGCAGCTGGCAACTGTACAATGTAAATAGATGCAAGTGTACTCATAGCCCCTCACCAGACATATTCTAAAGTATAGCACTTTGTTTAACACTGTTTTCCATCATAATAGTAAAAAAAAAACCTCTGAAAAGAGTTTAGAAGCAGATCTAGCCTTCCTTTGTCTCTGAGAAATTCTAGATCTGGCCTCTCACCCGTCCACCACCAATGCTTGAGGTGGGTTTTGCTTTCCTGTTTCTCCAGCATTACTCGCGCTACGTTGACCGATGAAAGAGTGACAAATCAGTGTGCATTAAGATGGTTAGCATTAGGGGAAACTGTACAGAGATTCGGCCATACACGTCTGAGCCTCAGTCAGACCCAGACTAGCAGACATATCAGAATGGTTGGTGTAGTTAGCGTCTTTTATTCACGTTGTTTGTTAGCTTGTAATTAGCAGTGGCTAACACAATGTTAGTGGCTGTGAAACACACCATAATGTCTGCTACAATGTGACAGTGTGTTCACATTGGTCCATTTACCTCCATACACTCACTGTGCTAATGTTAACTGCTCTCTGTAGTGACAATCTGCTTCGTGCTGGAGGTTTCGGGTTTCTTTGAAAGTGTTGGGTCGAAGTCTGTTCCCCTGTCGATGTGTGTGTCCCGGATTAGACAGCAATTGGCTTTTGCATTAGTGACATATCTAATTTAGCTGCCTGGCGTACGTTTGGATCTCCGATTTAAGGGAAGTGCACAGACATCTCTCCCTTTAGTAGAGGAATGTGAAGACACCTCTCTGGTGACAAAATATGTTTAACCTGTTTGGACTGTTTTTGTGTGTGAAATATTGTATAATCTGACCTCCACTGACATGTGACATTGAGCCCCAAGTTGACAGTGGTTTCTTTTTTGTATTGTATTTTATAACACATTAACACTTGTTTTCACTCTGATGAGTTCCCACCCACTGATGATCAGCTGTAGGCCTCTGTGTGGTATTAATGCACTTGTCTCACTGGTTAGAACAAAACACCAGAGCTAAATAATGCACCTGACCGGTACGGCAGTGTCGGAGCTCGACTGCCTCCTCGGAACAGTGAAAGCTGAAGGCAGGTTTGAGCCGCTGCTCTTCACACATCCACACTTGGTTCCCACACCACTTGATGGTGTTTCCTTTACTGGGAGGGGCTGTTGGGGCTCTTGGTAAATGTCTCTGAGCCCGAGCCGTTAGATGTGACCTCTGCGTGAGGCGGGCTGTGAGGGGGGCTGGACGGCAGCTCTGCTGTCTTTTGCTCCGTTGCTGCAGGGTTGACGGCGGTGGACACAACCGTCTCATTGCGACTGGCTCGATATATGCTCACCTGAAAATACAGATGGTTGAGTTATAGATAGATTCATTCATGTGCTCATTCCTGATTTGTTCTGATGTTTTCTGTGAAGGTCCTGTGTGTAAGATTTAAGGAGATTTAGTGGCGTCTAGCAGGGAGGATTGCAGACTGCAGCCAGCTGAAACTTCCCCTGGCTAGAAGTCCTTCAGGGTTCATTGTTCAGGTTTTTGCTGGGAGCTGAATTATCTGCAAAGGTCTCTTCCTCCCCCAAACAAACGGACCAGGGGTCTCATTTATAAACATTGCCTACACACAAAACAAGGCCTGACAGAGGTGTACGCCATCTTCTACAGGGAAAGCTGTGATCTATAAAAACAGATTTGATGGGAGAAACTTTGACCCATGCTTACAAATATTTTGGAGACGGGAAATTGGTGATACAGATGGTGAGGTGGAAGCCTGATTGTAGAAATATTTGACTTTCGTCTGTAAAATACATTTTTGTATGAATCCTACGCAATGTTTTATAAATGAGACCCCAGGTGATTTAAGCTGGTAAAAACACTGAATAAAGCAGTTTGAAAGTTTGACAAAAAATCAGTGCCCCTCCTCTGCTCATCAGGGAGTGGCTTCTAACTACTGCCATCTGGAGCCAGTGTTTGGTTTGTCCATTCTGGTCTACTGTAGAAACATGACGAGGATCTGCTCCCTATGTAGATATCTCTTTCTAAGGTAACAAAAACACAACAGTTCTTATTTTCAGGTGATTATACATTAAAGAAAATATATTATATTTGATTTCTGCCTAAATATCCCCTTAAATCCTTAGAACCATTTGATTTCAAGTGAATCTGGCATTTAGAAACAAGAAATAGGATTTGAGCTGACAAAAGACGCCTATCTCAGCGCCTGTTGTAGCATTTACAAGACTTAAACTAAGAGAGGCTCAGACATGGAGTTGCACATTTGAGGGTTTACTCGAGAGAAAGCCAAAGAATTAGTACATCATTCTCTGTCTGACAAACAAGCAGTATCAGCTGACAGATTAAGAGATGTTTCCTGTCCCTTAAGCACTGATTTCCTGTTATTCGGACAACAATCTCAGAGAACAATTGCTTCTCCTCACGAAACTTAATGTGGCCTGAATTAACACCATCATTTAGCTGAAGGATAACAACAACAGTTTAAGTAAGGTCATCATCTTCAATATACGCCTCATAGGAAAGCGACTCCCAGTGCTTGTTTTTTAAAATACACATATTGCGACTAGGGCTGTCCCGAATACCATTTGTTAACATTTGGACCTTCGGTAGAATTTATAACTTATAAATTTATAACACTCCTCCGGGGTTTTTTCGGACCTAATTTGCACAGCGGCAACCGGATCTTTGCTCTCAAACCACAAAAAAATGTGATGGCACAACAGTCTCCTTCAGTACATTATTCTATGCTTTCTTTTGATTTTCACATTGGCTAGTCATCCTGTTTAATTTGTCTTCTGATTAAATAAGAACAGCTGAAACAAGTTGTAGGAAACCTCTGCAAGTAAATGGTTGCTGGCAGACACACTGTGCTGCAATAAAATGGTTAATCAGCAGTGCCGTGCACTGTAGAGTCGATGCGCTGCTGGTTCTGCCGGCCTGAATAGAATATAATGTCTATAGCCTTACTGTTGTGTACAGCCTTTATAGACTGAGCTGAGTAGTGATGCGCGGGTCAACCCGTAACCTGCGGGACCCGCAAATGGACCTGTGGGTCGGGCAGCCGTAATTGTCTGTTAAATCGGTCTGTAAATGATATTTTGACATTATTGGCTATTACTGTCATGGCATCCGAAGGTACTGATGCGTTGAGCAGGTGACAGTCCACGGTCGTTTTCAAAACACACTTGTGTCACGCACTCCAAAAGAAACTTGTTGAAACTTTAAACAATAATTTATTGTACAAAACAGGGGAAACAAACGTTGACAAAAACGGTTCCATAATTCATATTGGGCGGCAGTAGCTCAGTCCATAGGGACTTGGGTTGGGAACCGGAGGGTCGCCTGTTCAAGTCCCCGTCCAGACCAAAATATGGAGCATGGACTGGTGGCTGGAGAGGTGCCAGTTCACCTCCTGGGCACTGCCAATGTGCCCTTGAGCAAGGCACCCAACCCCCCATCCGCTCGGGGCGCCTGACCAAAGGGCAGCCCCCTCACTCTGACAACTCTCCACTTTGTGCATGTATAGGTCCTGTTTGTGCATGTGTGTGTCTTTCAGACCTGGGTGTAATTGACAAGCAAGAGTGAAAACATTGAATTTCCCCTCGGGGGATTAATAAAGTAAATAAATTTAAACTTAAACTTAAACTTAAAATGCAAAAGATGATGAAAAAACAGCTACAAGTTAGAGGGAATAGTGATAAAGTGGTAAAACCTGGCATTGATCCACAACCTCAGACGGATGCGCTCAAACGTGCCGTGCGCACAAGCTCAGTTGGTAGGCTTTACTATATTTTCACATTTTTAACAATGCAATTTAAAAGTTTTGATTTTTATTGATAACCTACATTTACCAACAACAAAAAGACTACATTTAGCACCAAAAAAATATGTAAAAAAAAATAAATAAATAAAAAAAAATAATTAAAAAAAAGTAAATTAAAAAACGAATATCAAATACCAAATTTTCATAACGAATACCTACCCATAGAAACGAATATTCGAATATCCGAATATGTGGGTACAACCCATATCTCGACATTGGCGTTAGCTAGGTAACTAATGCGACGGTATGTCAACAGAGGGTTGACTACACAGTTTAAAACAAGCTTACAACAGTGATAGCACAACACTCACTAGCAACTTTCGAGCACGGTCTCACTCTGAAGTCGTCGAAATCCAGCGCTTGGGCAGTGACTTGCGGTGTCAGAAACCAACAAAAAAACGCTGGCATGATACACGGCCAGTTGCCTTTATAGTTTAACGGCGCCCAGCGGAGTCAGAGGAACACGCTGCAGGACAAGGACGAAAGTTAAGGCAGCAAACGCCCAAGTGGGGAAGGCGGGATGCTGCATGGGTCCGACAAACACCAACTTTACCCCGAGAGAGATTGTTCCTTGTCATACTCATGTAAGACTTTCCAATGTTTATTGCGGACTGCTTCCTTGTAGCTGACCTCGCCTGTCTCTGACTTCCCTGTTTCGTCTGCTCCCCGGTAAACCACTCTGCTTTCTGTCCCGAGAGCTCTGCTGCTGCCTTCCTGCTTCCTGTTTGCCTGTTTCCTGTGGCTGTTTGGAGAGATTGTCACCCAACACTCCCAAGTGAGTTTACTGGTTCAACTATCTACGGACCTCTGTGCTGTGGATTGCTTCGCAGTGTGGCTGCACATTCCACCTTTGTGTATGCACCATGGACTCCACTCATCATCGCCGCTGTCAAGACCCTCGCTGCCTACAGTCGGCTCTGCTCAGGTGTGTTGGCTTCTCCTGTGTGTACTCTTGGTTCAGGACTCCCTGCTCGTCAGACATTGCCTTCTGCCTACTCCCTCACAGTACCGTTGCACACATTCGAACTGTTTGCTGTTTGTGTGCATCCAGCAGACGCCACTGGCTCACCAGCTCTCTGCTTGGACTTTCCACGTCCACATACCACGTGCAAGGTACCCTGGGTGCTTTGGTTGTTGACGTTCTGAGACACCATGTCAACACAAAAGGAAGTGGTTAGGTTTAGGCAACAAAAGGAAGTGGTTAGGTTTAGGCAACAAAAGGAAGTGATTAGGTTTAGGCAACAAAAACACGTGGTTGGATTTAGGCAACAAAAGCATGTGGTTAGGTTCAGGCAACAAAAGCACGTGGTTAGGTTTCTGCAACAAAAGCGTGTGGTTAGGTTTCGGCAACAAAAGTGCGTGGTTAGGTTTAGGCAACAAAAGGAAGTGGTTAGGTTTAGGCAACAAAAGCGTGTGGTTAGGTTTCGGCAACAAAAGCGTGTGGTTAGGTTTTGGCAACAAAAGTGCGTGGTTAGGTTTAGGCAACAAAAGGAAGTGGTTAGGTTTAGGCAACCAAAACATGTGGTTAGGTTTTGGCAACAAAAGGACATGGTTAGGTTTCGGCAACAAAAGGAATAATAATAATAATAAATCAGTTTTATATAGCGCCTTTCAAGAAACCCAAGGTCGCTTCACAATTGCAAACAACCACAAAATCACACAGACAACCACAAAATCACATGACATGAACAAACAGAAAACACAACTAGCTGGCGAAAGCCAGCAGGAAAAAGGAAGTGGTTAGGTTTAGGCAACAAAAGGACATGGTTAGGTTTAGGCAACAAAAGGAAGTGGTTAGGTTTTGGCAACAAAACCACATGCTTTAGGAAAAAAGAAGAGGGTTTGGTTTTATAATGTTACGTGAACACCGCTCTCTAGGATGAAAGTCAGTGTTTGTTGGACCCATCCACCACCCGTCATGCCAGCCCCTCTCGGACTTTCGCTGCCTTAAGTTTTGTCCTTTTTTCTGCTGCATTTCTCCCTGACGCCGCCGGGTGCCATCAACTATAACAGCAACTGGCCGCATATCATGCTGATGTTAAAGGATGCCTTTTTTTGTAGGTGTCTGACACTGCAAGTCACTGCCCAAGCGCCATATTTTGATGACTTCAGAGTGAGACCGGGCTTGACGAAAAGTTGGTATTCGACACCCCAGGAATAAGAATGGCCTGGCGTGAGGGTAAGATGATGCACATTGTTGTTTTCATTCTATTCCACTGATCAACAGACCCGTCATCTTCTTGATCTGTTTCTCTTGAACTCACCTGTGTTTGCAGGTAACGCGGTGATTTGAGCTCCAGCTCCTCCTTGCCGACGGTTGGAGCACAGCAACAAAACACCTGCTGGAAACCTGCTCTGAACCTGCCGGACAGAAGACAAATATGTCGTAACAGGATGGATTAAACAGGCAGGATTACAGACACAAACACAGATTACACACGAGCAGACAGAGAAACAGATCAACATCCACACAGACAGGCAGCTAGTCATTTTTACAACCAGGCTTTCCTACCTGCTGTTGAGGCAGTAGTAGATGATCGGGTTGTACATGGTGGAGCTCATGGCCAGCCACATGATGGCCAGGTACACCTGCTGGATGTAGCGCTCTTCGAATAAATCGGGGAAGAACTGATGCAGTAGGAAGTAGATGTGATAGGGCAGCCAGCAGACAGCGAACGTACACACAACCACGATCATCATCTTCACCACCTGCCACAGGGAAACACAGACAGAGTGCACGCTGGGTTTAAAATAATCTGTCAGTGTTTTGTTTTTTTCACGTGGGGATTAAAAAACCATTAAATTAAATGATAGTGTTTCGTATGGCCACAACTTGTGTGTGTGTGTGTGTGTGTGTGTGTGTGTGTGTGTGTGTGTGTGTGTGTGTGTGTGTGTGTGTGTTTGCATCACCTTGCGTTTGGCAGTCAGCTGCTCTTTGTAGTGCTCCGAAGAGTCTCCAGGAATCTCACTCGCCCAGAGGGTGACACCCACGATCGTGTACGCACATCCCATAATGCAGAGGGGCAAGAAGTAGATCAGCAGTGTCACACACACGTAGTATCTGGGAAATGAGAGACGGAGGAATAAGATATTAATAATGTGTTGTGACTTGCACTCGAAGTACTGCCAGTAATTATGCATGCTGCACAGTGTGTAATGTTATTTAGCTGAATGTGTCTTCAGGCTGCGCGGGATTAAATATTTACCAAACCGGCAAACTGATCACAGGCTTGAGCTCACTCTGTCTGACAGTGGTATTAATAGTAATAATTATAACCATGGCTTCACAATGCCATCGAGGACACTGTGTTACGTCTCCTTCGAGGTCCAGACCAGGGCTGTTCTTTCCATTTTTGTAAAGTGAAATGACATTTTTTGTATAGAATAGACAACCCAAACACTAACTCTAGATAGGGACATTTGTGTTATCTTGTCAGCCACTGTAAAACACAGATTTGTAATGTGTAAAGTGTTTTTACCGGTTTAAATCACCAGGTCTGTTTGTTTTGGAGAGGAAGAGACCTCTGCAGATAATTTAGCTCCAAGTAAAAACCTCCTGAGCAATCAACACTTAAGGATTCATCTGGAAAACTTTTAGTTGGTTGCAATCTGCAATTCTCACCATTAAACGCCACTAAATCCCCCTAAATCTTACACACTGAACTGTCATGTGTTTGATGCCCAAAATTTCCTGAGGAAAATCTGAAATGAACTGAGGAATGAACAGATCATTTTAGGACGTGATTCAGTTCAATTTGTTTACCCAAAAGATGTTATTTTGAATGAAACGACAAACAAACAACACAACGCTAACACCTGCAGAACAAATATTTTTTATGCTGTATTCCGACGGCTGATTATTTGAAAACAATAGCTGTCTGAAAAATGACCCCCTGGACTGAAAGGCCCCTTTTACGACAGCCCGTTTATCCCAAAAACAAACAATCATTCCTCTGAAAGCCCTTCACTAGAACTAGATACAGCATTTGAGCCCCGTGAAAGTTGCGCATGAACTACCGTGTATAAAATTACCCAGATGATCGGTGCTACTTCAGCACTGTGCAGCCCATAGAGCAGGCATGCTAGAGATTTACAGCGGCTGAGTGCGACCAAGTGCGGGGGAGTGTCTCACTTCTGCCGGCCGAACCGCTAACTTCTGGTTTAGCATTCTGCTAACTTGAACAGAATGATACAATGATTGAATCTTGAGGCTCTACGAGACTTTCCAAATGTTATTGGACTGAATGGATCAATTGTTGATGGTGGGTTTTGACGCTCAGGAAAAATTATCCACTGATTTACAAATGCCTTTCACAATGTAAATCTATGGGGAAAAAGTATTTTTGGGCCACAGGGAATTATGTGACAGACCCCGGGTATTGCAAAGCTACTATGAAAATTTGCTTCTAAGCCCGGCGTACTTCCTGGGGACTGCTGTAATCAATCTTTTCTTTTTTACTCTCTATAGTGAAGCCATCCTGCTCTGCCTCTGATTAGCTTACCCTGATTTTATCACCCAAACCAAGTTCACCTCTCTTGCTTAAACCTAATTAACCAAACTAACAAGGGCAACTAGTACTAGTCAATCCAAGGCAGGGTAGGGCAGGTAAACTGGCTCCGAGGAAGGTCCGATGATCTGTGTGGGAGAGTGTGTATTTTTGGAGCGATGGGCGCTTGTGTTTGGAACCATGGGTTGTTGGACAAATAGGCTTTATGTCCAATGGGACATGTTGGTGAAGGTTCTCAGTAATCTTAAGTGCTACATCGTAGGTAACTGGACTTACTTGAGTTTCTTGAAGACGTTCCACCTCTCATCCAAGAGGCAGAACTGAAGAAAACTCTTGGATGAGAGGCAAAACGTCTTCAAGAAACTCAAGCAAGCCCTGTTGCCTATGATATAGCACTTACAATGTCTAATGGGCCATTTTTCAAACAAATAGGTTTGGAATAATGAACCGTCAAGAATGGGCAGTTCCTACTGTACTTTGTGTTTACTGCCAATCAGCTAAGTTAGCATGCTAACATGCCAAAGTAAGATGGTGAGCATTGTAAACATCATGTAAGCACATGCTGACATTAGCATTTAGCTCAAAGCCCCGCTGTCATCTTAGACTTGTGTGTGTTCTACTGTGTGAACTCTTTACAATCACAGCAAACTGAGATCTTAGATCACGGACTTCATGCATACATTCATTAACACACACACACTCGAATACACACACCAACATGGAAGTGATTTCTCATCTCCTTTTTCTGCAGAGAGGCCAGCTAAAGAAATCCAGACCACTAAATAAAAGATGCTTTAATTTGCAGAAAGGTCGAGAAGGTGTGTTGGGGAGGCGCTCATAATAAGACTCATTTTGGAGGCAAATTCGTCAAATGCCCCTTTTCCTGTTTTAGCTCCACAGATTATTTCCAGAAGAAATTGAGGACGATCCTCGCAGACAGATTCATCACCTGAACAGGAGTCATTTCAGCTGCAGGGTCTATTTTTTAATATATTAAATTAATCCCTCACAGAGTGATTATTGCGCTGATTCATCCAGGCTGCAGCATCCCTGCAGCAGCAGGTATCCTGTCCGGTGTGAGATGACGAGATCAAACCTTATTAATGTGTGCTGCAGCCACAGGATATATGTAATAAGCATGGAATAATGTCATCAAATACTTGACAGACCAGCGGCAAAAACAGAGGAAGAACTGAACCCTCAGAGCAGAATAGTTTGTTTACTTTAGTGTGAGTTATTATTCTGAATACTGATGGAGCAGGTTCAAAATGGACACCACGTTCACACCACGCTCACTGAATCAGTTTAATGGGTGCCTCAGGAATGAGTCCTAAAACCTGGTGCCCTCTTCCTGACGTCAGTGGGTTCCTTGAATGGGTTTTTGGAAATAACCCCCCCCCCCCCCCCCCACACACACACACACACACACACATCTGTGTGTCGTTGATAAGCGAAATCTGTGTTTTACTCAAATTTCCTGACATTGTCCCCTGGATATGATGCACACAGTCGTTTGTAACTCCACTCTGCACAACACAGAAACACAACGCAGCACTACTAGCAGCAATGAACAGCGTTAACCTCCTTTTTTTCTTTTAAATGTGATTAAAACAAGCAGAACCGAATCTGCCACACATTGTCATGTTATCCATGTCATCATCTTTTGCTCCTCTGTTTGCAGGAGCTCTACATGCTGTCATGAGCTTAGCCTCCTGCACCCAAAGTGATGTCAAAACTTTCATTTATATTTGCCAACGCAGCCTCCACAATTCTTGACTGGAGGAAAGGCAGAAACAAGGTGTGGAGAAAACAGGGGCACGTTCACTCTCAAAATGTTGTGCGCTGTTTTACTATGGTTTACAGTTTGAAAGACATTCTTTGAAACGATGTGAAACAAGCTCCGAGGTCTGTTTTCTCTCTTTTGGTGTGTGAGTCAGAGGTCTTGCCTAATCAGCACTGGCTTGTATATAAATAAATGCCCAGTAGATCTTTACTTATCTACATTTTTTGTTTACATTTCAAGCTTGCTTTGGCAATGTGAACACATTTTCCGGGCTGATAAAGCCCCTTTTAATTGCTATTTACAAGGGAAGGAGTGATATTAAACACATGGCATGTTGTGCAAGATATTTTGGAATAGAACGGCAACAAGCCCCTGAATCTTATTTTGCCACTTTCCCATTTGTATCAGGATACTCTGCCAAATTTCATACTTGTATGACTATTTGTGCCATGGTAGTGCCCTAATATTTGCATTTACATCATTTCGCCAGAAACATGTCCCAAAAAAGGGGTTTTGGGCCCCGAGACCAAACGACCTCAAGCTGGGGGTACTCATTATCAACTTGTGATGGCCCAAGGTACAGGCTAACAGGAAATAATAATAAAAAAAGGTAGCAGAAAACATCATGACGGCTAGAAGTGGCTCCTGGCCTGTTAACCCCATCGTACTCAAAAGCTCTTTTTAAACAGGAATTGTGAAAATTTGCAGGAAAGCCCAATCAGTCTTTTTTCAGCATTGGCAGTATAAAAACAAAATCGGGGAGTGCAGCAAAATGCCGCCTACCTACTTTTGTAAATACAGAATGAACCTTTTTCGGGACAATGGGGGGCGTGAGCAAGTAACAACACGTGTAGCTCAGCATGTGACGTAAACAGTGACGTGGGAGGGAAGCTGCAGCTGGTCAGTCCTTCGGCAATTCTCTCGTAAGTCGGCCCGTTCTTCACCGTCCCCGTCATCTGACGGTTAATGGCCTCTTCGTTTGCGAGGACAAGGAGGGCGCGCAATTCCTTGTCTCCCCAGTTGCTCATCTTTACAATGTCTGTCAGGTTTGTGTTTCCCTCTTGCTACTAGCTGCTCGCTAATTCCTGCTATCAGCTGTTTCACTGTTTACCCACGCTAGTGGCTCGCACGTGCGGCGTCATCAACAGCTCCTCCCACAAGTCATCAACAGCCCCTCCCGTTGCGGAAGGCCGCCTCAGTCTGTTTAAACTAAAAGGGTTCCACCAATATGTCTACCCTACGAGGCGGAAAATTGGGCACCTCAGATCAACAAGCCAATCTGGCTCTGTGTGTCTAAACGCTCGCAGCTTGCCGGCAAAACGGCCCAACATTCGCGGAAAATCTGGCAGTGTAAAAGGGGCTAAAGACAGTGCACTTGCGTTACACAACAGAGTGTTCAATGCACTACTGTGTTCGTTTGAATTTTACTATGCTTTGCTCCCTAAGTGACCTAAAAAATCAAATAATGACATGAACGTTGCATCAATCTTCTCTTCTCACTCTTGCAGGAAACTTGAAAATGTTGAACTACACCTTTAAAGCAGTGGTTCCCAACTGGTGGGTCTTGGGTCCGTTCTGAATGGACCGCAAGTGACTTGCAAACGTGCCAAATTTGTAAAGGACACACTTTATTTTGAAGTACAGTGAATTTCTGGCACAAAGCTTTTATTTTGAAGTGACTAACAGACAGCTAGCTAGCTGGACGACATGACCAAACTCAAATATGACACTAAATATATATAACTGTATGGACCTCTAACTGATGACTGAAGAGAAATCTGGACCCTGTGGCTGACCAGCTGGGAGCCACTGGTTTAAAGCTTGAGAGGAAAGAACACCTTCGTCTGCTGTCGGTTCAGGTTTACAGAGGCTCTGTGTTCTGCTTTGTCCCCCTCAGGTACTCACATCTTCTTGAAGTCCACCGAGGTGTACTCAGGCCAGTCAATGTAGCAGACTGTGCGTCCAGGCAGCAGCGCGGTGGATGAGAAGTAGTACTGAGGGAAGGCCAGAAGCAGAGCCAGCACCCAGATCACAGTGATCACCACGCGGGTCTCTGTAGACGTCAGCCTCTGCTGCAGGGGGTGGATGATCGCCATGTATCTGAAGACGTGGGGAGATATTCTGTTACGTTCAGGTGAGTTTGCATGTTTTGTTTATGTAATTTACATATTTGCATTGATTTCCCTGGTATCTCTCTGGCAGCCATTGGTTTCTGTTCATTTCACCACAGTGTGAAAATCAACCAGAAGAGACAGTGCCTGGGAACGAGACAAATCTACCAGCTCATGTCTTATTTGCTCTGGCAGATGCATCTGATCCCCTCAGCTTTGGACAGATTTCAAGCAACTTGGGATAAATCACAATTGTTTATCGAATATGGGGCCTTTGAGACAGTGACTATAAAGAGGAGTGTCGCTGAGGCATTTTCAAAGATCAACAAGTCAATAAAAAAAGGTTTCGGCCGTTCCTGTTTCAAATTATTTAATAGAGTGAGTAAAAACATCTTTTATCTCCAAATTCTGATGCAAAAATGGCAACTGTGTGAGTACGTAATGTGATGACTCCCAACCATGTTTCCTCTCCTAAACCTAATCTACATAACTTTCTGTTAAGTACGTAGTGTTCCCTTGAATATGTAACTTTCCATAGTACATAACGAGATGACTCCCAACCATGTTTCTTTTCTAAATCCAACCTTCATAACTTGACTTGCTGAAACCAAAACTTCATCACTTGGCTTTAGTAACTTTACTTGTCTAAACCTAACCTCCATAATTTTACATTAATTACATAACTGCACGTTGAGGACATAACGTCATTCATCATGATTTTTCGGACATTTTCTAAATATTTGTCGGACATTTTATTAACATTTTTCGGATATTTTATTAATAATATTTCGGACATTTCCATATTTTTTCGGACATTGTATTTATATTTGTCAGAACTTTTATTAATAATATTTCAGACATTTTATTAATCATTTTTTGGACAATTTATCAGCATTTTGTCGGACATTTTATCATTATTAGTTGGACATTTTATTAATCATTTTTTGGACAATTTATCAGCATTTTGTCGGACATTTTATCATTATTAGTTGGACATTTTATTAATAATATTTCGGACATTTTATTAATCATTTTTTGGACATTTTATCATTATTAGTTGGACATTTTATGAATAATTTTCAGACATTTTATGAATAATCTTTCGGACATTTCCATATTTTTTCGGACATTGTATTTATATTTGTCAGAACTTTTATTAATAATATTTCGGACATTTTATTAATCTTTTTTTGGACATTTTATCATTATTAGTCGGACATTTTATTAATAATATTTTGGACATTTTATTAATATTTTTTTTGACATTTTATTAATATATTTTCGGACATTTTATCATTATTAATCAGACATTTTATTAATCATTTTTCGGACATTTTATCATTATTAGTTTGACATTTTATTAATAATATTTCGGACATTTTATCAATAATTTTTCAGACATTTTATCAACATTTTGTCAGACATTTTATTAATAATATTTTGAACATTTTATTAATATTTTTTCTGACATTTTATTAATCATTTTTGGACATTTTATCATTATTAGTCGGACATTTTATCAACATTTTGTCAGACATTTTCTCATTATTAGTTGGGCATTTTATTAATAATATTTCGGACATTTTATTAATCATTTTTCGGACATTTTATTAATATATTTTCGGACATTTTATCATTATTAATCAGACATTTTATTAATCATTTTTCGGACATTTTATCATTATTAGTTGGACATTTTATTAATAATATTTCGGACATTTTATCAATAATTTTTCAGACATTTTATCAACATTTTGTCAGACATTTTATTAATAATATTTTGAACATTTTATTAATATTTTTTCTGACATTTTATTAATCATTTTTGGACATTTTATCATTATTAGTCGGACATTTTATCAACATTTTGTCGGACATTTTCTCATTATTAGTTGGGCATTTTATTAATAATATTTTGGACATTTTATTAATCATTTTTCGGACATTTTATTAATCATTTTTCAGACATTTTATTAATCATTTTTCAGACATTTTATCATTATTAGTTGGGCATTTTATTAATAATTTTTCGGACATTTTAGGAATAATATGTCAAGCATTTTATCATATGTGTAGCCTATACACTGATTAAATTTTTTTTTTAACATTTCGTCAACTAAAATGTTCTTCATACATCTGCGGCCTGGTGCTTTTTTCCTCTAAATGTTGCCGAACCTCAATAGTAGTGGCTGGTCTTGAGTCTCCAAAGCTTAATGAGCTATGGATTCCAAAAAAGGAGAATTTAATAGCGTGTGGACAGATTTGTTTGCTTTCACTGCAGATACAGCAAAGTTAAAGACGCTAATATTCATAAAGAGCCCACTGCAGAGTAGCCACCTTGTGGTAAAACATATTCATCATGGGTAAAACATTAATGAATGGTCATTTAGACACATTAATAAGGTTGATAGGCTAATTTAGACTTAATGAGCCGGGAAAAACTTGTCCATACATTTATCTTTAGTAGAATTGACTCCAGTAATGGGGTCTTCACAGGTCTCCCTAGAAATCGATCAGACAGCTGCAGCTCCTTTATATTCATTGTCTTGTGTGGCGATCAGCAGTGATGTGGTGGTTCACTTTTACACTGTGATCTGTAGCCTATAGTTCGGCTTTAGCTTCTAACTATCTTTGTCTTTTTAACCTGTTGTTGCTGCTGAGTCAGTTTGACATCCTGGATATATCCTTCAAACACAGACTGTAGACCCCTCTGTCGGCTTCTCTCTGGAATCACTCTTTTATTTTACCAAAAATATGATAATATTTCTACTGGGAGTGCAGTTAGTTCAAGGGGCGGGGCTTATTGAAAGGTCAGTTGTTTCTTTGTCACAGTGTTTTTGTCTGCTTTTAATTAACTTTTCTTGCTTTCTGACAGGACACTTTGGCATACCAGATGTCACTGCATGCTCACTGTGCATGCACCAAAGATGGTCGCTATGGTCACTGCTTGCAACCACATCGCCATGTGAGATTAAGTACATTAAGTATAACAATTTTTTTTAACGTAAAATAAAGGTTTTTTGGAATTACTTAACTAGGTTTCAGGTTTCTACATGTGTCCATGGTATTGTGAGGCAGTTCACAATTGTTAAGTTTATGCCCACTCTCTTCCCTTACAAATGTGTCCTTGTTGATACATCTAACATTTTGATTGGTTAGCTGATGTGACAAGATTACGTATGAGGACAGCAAGTTTTAGCAGGAGTCAGTTAGAAAAGGTTGAACGGCACTTGCGGCTTATTCCGAGCTAGAGACCACAACCCAGCAGAGCTGCCTTCACTGATGTAAATGGCTGTGTGTTCACAGTACTCACCTGCTGAAGTTCAGTAAAGGGCAGAAACCGAAGGTTCGTTGTCGTGTGAAATTATTTCCACCCACACACATCCAGACGGATTAGCTGAGTTTACGTCAGAGGCCGAAAGTGTGACAGTATATTGAAGTCAACTCAAGCATAAAACTAATGTGAGGACTTTAATTGTTCCTTTGTATGTTGAATTTAATGGGCTAAAACATGCTAAAAACACACAAAATAAGTGCTAACATGCTAACTGGTGATAATTGCTAAACATCAGTAAGTTAACATTGTCACTGTGAGCATGTTAGCTTTTAGTCTTGTTTGCTTTTCTCTTTTTCATAACCTTCCACAGAGCAATGCAGCAGAGAAACTGTGGATTATATTGAATAATGTTTGCTCCATATTGCTCCTATAGTGCCGACTTAGCCTCAAGGTACACACTCTCATTTTGATGCTGTGCTGGAGAGTCAGAGATTTCTGGCTGTGTGGGATTTAAAATGTTTATACATGTTTGTCCCATAACACACACACAGAGTCACACACACACCTGTCCAGAGCGATGGCCGTCATGGAGTAAATGCTGGCGAAAATGGCCGCGATGGGGAAGAAGTTGTGGAAGCGGCAGTAAACCAAACCAAAGTACCACTCGTTGTGAACAGCGTAGGCGAAGTTGATCACTGTGTTGAATGCTGACATGGCCGCCTCTGCAAAGGCCAGGTTCACCTGCAGAAGAGTGAGAGAAGAGGTTAATGTATTCATAATTAATCCTCAGACATACAACCAGGCACTGCTGGAAGGTGCAGTCAAGTCACAGTCAGCAGATAAAACCATTGCTCTGCATTACGGGCAGATTATCAGACAGTGGACCTCTGGGCACAGACAGGCAAAGGATCCCACCACTTCTCTGATATACGAGCAAGACACACAGACTTTGTGATGGTTTTGCATCATTTTTAGATGTTATGCATCTTTTTGTAGTTTGTAGTCAAATTTTGTTTTGTGTCTCTTTAGGTTTGTGTCGTTTTGTAGTTGTTTTGTGTCTTTGTGTGGTTGTTTTGTGTCTCTTTGTTGTCTTTTTATGTCTCCTTGTGGTTGTTTTGTGTCTCTTTGCCGTCTTTTTGTGTCTCCTTGTGGTTATTTTGCTTTTATTGTAGTCATTTTATGTCTTCTTGTGGTTGTTTGTGTCTCTTTGACTTTTTATGTCTCCTTGTGGTTGTTTTGTGTCTCTTTGTTGTCTTTTTATGTCTCCTTGTGGTTGTTTTGTGTCTCTTTGCCATCTTTTTGTGTCTCCTTGTGGTTGTCTTGTGTCTCTTTGTCATCTTTTTATGTCTCCTTGTGGTTATTTTGTTTTTATTGTAGTCATTTTATATCTCTTTGTCGTCTTTTTGTGTCTCCTTGTGGTTATTTTGTTTTTATTGTAGTCATTTTATGTCTCCTTGTGGTTGTTTTGTGTCTCTTTGTCGTCTTTTTGTGTCTCCTTGTGGTTGTTTTGTGTTTATTGTAGTCATTTTATGTCTCCTTGTGGTTGTTTTGTGTCTCTTTGTCGTCTTTTTGTGTCTCCTTGTGGTTGTCTTGTGTCTCTTTGCCGTCTTTTTATGTCTCCTTGTGGTTGTTTTGTTTTCATTGTAGTCATTTTATGTCTCCTTGTGGTTATTTTGTGTCTCTTTGACTTTTTATGTCTCTTTGTGGTTGTTTTGTGTCTGTTTGTTGTCATTTTATGTCTCCTTGTGGTTGTTTTGTGTCTGTTTGTTGTCTTTTTATGTCTCCTTGTGGTTGTTTTGTGTCTCTTTGTCATCTTTTTATGTCTCCTTGTGGTTATTTTGTTTTTATTGTAGTCATTTTATATCTCTTTGTCGTCTTTTTGTGTCTCCTTGTGGTTATTTTGCTTTTATTGTAGTCATTTTATGTCTCCTTGTGGTTGTTTGTGTCTCTTTGACTTTTTATGTCTCTTTGTGGTTGTTTTGTGTCTCCTTGTTGTCTTTTTATGTCTCCTTGTGGTTCTGTTGTGTGTCTTTGCCGTCTTTTTATGTCTCCTTGTGGTTGTTTTGTGTCTCCTTGTTGTATTTTATGTCTCCTTGTGGTTATTTTGCTTTTATTGTAGTCATTTTATGTCTCCTTGTGTTTGTTTTGTGTCTCTTTGCCGTCTTTTTATGTCTCCTTGTGGTTGTTTTGAGTCTCTTTGTTGTCATTTTATGTCTCCTTGTGGTTGTTTTGTGTCTCTTTGACTTTTTAAGTCTCCTTGTGGTTGTTTTGTGTCACTTTGTTGTCTTTTTATGTCTCCTTGTGGTTGTTTTGCATTTCTTTGTAGTTTTTCAGGTCTCTTTGAGGTAATTTTGTGTCTCTTTGTAGTTATTTTGTTTCGTTGCAGTTCCTTTGCATCTCTTTGTGGTCATTTTTAATCTCTTCCTGGTTGGTACATCTTGATTTAATTGACATTTTGCAAGTGAAAGCCAGGGGGCCCCTGACATTTTTGGTCCCTGGACCTCTGTCCAGCAGCCGCCTTCAGTAATCCATCCATGCTCTGCATTATGTGGTGAGAGAGAAACGTAGGATGCATGATTTTCTTCTTGCACAGACATATTCACCCAGTAACATAAAGGCCGTCCTTTGACAATGAGTCTGTCATTTATATCTATTTGCACCACATGTTACCCCAACCATGATTTCTGCAGGTTCACCAATAAACTAAAGACTTTCCAGGACCATTTAAAACCTATTTCACACTGGCCAAATCAGTAGGAGAATCAGCAAGGACAGTATGACCCATTATTAGTTATTTCTATAGCACATGCTTTTCAGTATTCCTAGCAGTAGCTTATATAACAGCGATTCCTCCAGTTTTAATTACTTGGATTTAAAACAACTGGCCAGATTAGCAGCAGAGAATGGATGGATGGATTAAACAATTAATCGACACTAGCCCATTATGAGAGGATGGGCAGCCTAGTGACTGTAGCAGCAGGAGCAGCAGCAGCAGGGACAGTGTTCGCTGCAGGTCTGATGGTGCTGAGTGCTGATTGAACGGCCTCCTGCAGCACAATCCACTGTCACAACTGTCACACTGTCCCAGCAACCTGCAACCAGATACAGCGAGCAAGAGAGGATACATAAGACTTTTTTAAAAAATGATCCTTTAATGGCTTTTTTGTTGATGAAATAGAATTCAGTGCCTTTTTAAGACCTGCAGATAGACTGACCCTGCTAACAAACAACTCACTGATCAGACAGGTCACAAAAAAAGGCATGCTGGCTGCTACAAAACCGATGCTTGGGTAGTGACTTCTGTGTCAGACACAGATAAAATAAGCTGTCCTTTCACATTGGCATGACACGTGGCGGGACGCGGCAGTGTGTAACGGCTCCTGGTGGAGTCAGGGGGAATGTGGCTGGACACCTCTTAAATTAAGGGGCTGAAAAGTCTGAATGGGGAGGTGGGAGGGGTGTTGGATGGGTCCAACAATCACCGACTTCTTTCTCATGAATCGGGCAGCTGTGGCTCAGGAGGTAGAACCAGTCGTCCATCAATCCACAGCTCCTCTAGTCCACATGTCAAAGTATCCCTGGGCAAGATACTGAACCCCAAATTGCCCCCAATGGCTGCTCCATTGGTGTGTGAGAGCGTGTGAATGGTTACTGAGTAGCATCGGTCACCAGTGTGTGAATGGGTGAATGTGACATGGTGTAAAAGCGCTTTGAGTGGTCCGAAGACAAGACAGGCGTGTTACAAGAACTGTCCATTTACCATTTAGAGCCAAAACCTGGTATTTTTTCTAAACCTAACCAAGTGTGTGTGTTGGCTGAATGTCACCATGTGCATTCATTGTTGAATAATAAAAAAAAAAAACGTCAACGTAGTGCTTTTATTTTGAAAGAGACTGTATGTAAACTGTACATTTCCTGTGAAAAATTAAGTGTATTTTGAAAAGACATAGTGCACTTAACAAGCTGAAGCTGACACGGCGTCCCAGAACATCAAAAACAGACGCACCCAGGGTACCTTGCACGTCATATGTAGGCATGAAAAGTCCACGACCAAGTGATGATATGTGACAAGATCGGATTGAGAATGTGTTGGTTTTGTAGCGACCTGTCGCTGCGTTTCCTGTGGGGAAAGTCCCCCCAAAACCGGTTATTTTTAACCCAAAACACGATCTTTTCCAAACCATATCTAAGTGTTTTTTGTGCCTAAGCCTAACCACACGTTAACCACAGCGTTGTTAAAATGTAAAGTTTCTCTACATATTAACATACAAACGAAACATATTCCTGGTTTGCATAAATGCCCAGTGCTTTTTTTTCTGGCAGTTGGGTTGAACTAAAGCATCTGATTAGTTGGTGAGGACAGGACACAACTGGGAGGACAAGCTGCCTGAGGGGACAAACATCTACTCTCTCTTGTCTCTGGAGAAGAGACAGGTGCTTATCCTGATCAATAGTAACAGCTCACCTATGATACCTATGATATATTATATTATCTTTTCATCTATATGCTAGTCAGAAGAGGACCAAGCTCTAACACATTAATAACATTATGAATTTTTTGTATTTGTATCCTGTTTTTGGGCTCATATCAAACAAGTCTAAACAAAACATGTAGTATTATCATTGATACATGATACTGTTCTAATTATGCACATTTGTTGCAGGATCAATCATTTTCTGACTTTGAGATAAAGCTGAAAGGATTAGTCAGGTAATAAATTAGTCAGTCGACACAATAATAACTATTTTATCAACTATTTTGATTGTTTATGTTGCAAAAATGCCTCAAATTGTTGTTTCTAGCTTCTGTGATTGTGGACATTTGTCATTTGTTTTGTGTCACCTTATGGTTGTTTTGTGTCTTTTTGTAGTCATGTTAGACTCTTTAAGGTAATTTTGTGTCTAACTGACATAATTTAGTGTGTTTGAAGTCATGTTTGGTCTTTTCTGGTCATTTTGTGTCTTTCTGTAGTCGTTTGGGTCTCCTTGAGGTCATTTTGTGTCTCTTTGGTGTCATTTTTTGTCTTCCTTTCTTGCTTTGTAGCAATTTTGTGTCTCTTTTAGGTAGTTTTTGTGTCTTTTTTCCACAGTTTTGTGTCTTTTTTTTAGTAATTTTTTTGTCTCCTAGTGGTTGTCTTGCTTGTCTTTACAGCTGTTTGGGTCTTTTTTGTGGTCATTTTGCGTGTTATTGGGGTCATTTTATGTCTCTTTGATATATTTTTTTGTCTTCTTTGGTTGTTTTGTGTCGCTTTGTAGCAATTGTGTGTCTCCTTGTCATTGTCTTGCTTCTTTTTGTAGTTGTGTGGGTCTCTTTGAGGTCATTTTGTTTGTTATTGGGGTCATTTTGTGTCTCTTTGAAGCAATTTTTTGTCTTCTTGTCGTTTTGTGTATTTTAGGCCAAATGATTTATCATGTAATCTTAAAACTAATTGATAATGACTTTATTTATAGAGAGCAATGAGCTTATCCTGAGTCAATATGCAAGACTTTGAAGCAGTATTTTCCAGTGATTTAATACACCACGTTCAGTTCTTAATCATCATATAGTGTATAATAGATACATCAAAGTGATGCCAGATCCTGATGTTTTTTAAGTGGTGAAAACGTTTGATGTTTTTAGGAGTCAAGAGAGTTGCAATGATCATATTTATTCAGTTAATTAGCTCAGGCATGTGGGAGTCAGTCAGTTGCATTTTTGGTGTACAAATGAATAGAACATGTATTTAAATTAAAGATTGCTTCTGTTTATCATCCTCTCTGTATGGATGGTCATGGATGCATCTGATTTGTGCTGGAGGAGTATCTTCGTTTCACGCAGGACTAAATTCATGATGGTTTACAGGTGCAAAAATAAAAACCATTATTGTGAGGACACAAATTAAAAGTCATCCATGAGAATCTCCCTAAAGACAAGGGAGCTTAAAACTCTTATCATCAAACAAACCTCACATTCAGGTGAAACATAAATGAATACTTGGAGTTCCTTCAGTCAACACACAGCAGCCTACTCACCAGAAAGTAATTGGTGACGGTCCTCATGCGTTTATGCGCCAGAATAATCCAGATAACCACCATGTTCCCAACCACAGACACCGCCACGATGCTGCAATAGGCGACAGCCCAGAGTGTGATCTGCCACACCGGCTGGATGAACTGGTTGAAGCCGTCGCTGCAGTTAACGCACACATTTGTCCCGTTAGTGCCGTTAAAATCGGTGCCGTTGTACAGAGTGTCCATCTTTCCGGCCATCAGTGAGTTGGACGTTTAAAAATAGCTTAGTGTCCTGTTACAGGAACGGATTCCTCTCCAGGAGGATCAGGAGCAGCCCGTGTGTAAACGCAAAGAAGCGCCAATCCACACATTTTGTGCTGGAAGTGTCTTTACGCACCGTGAAGCCGCGCGCTCCTGAGGACAGCACCGCACCAAAACGCACGACGCAGCTCGCCAGCCATTGACGTTATTCAGGGTGGTTAACCCCCCCACCCCCTCCCTCCACTACTCACTGCCCCCCTCACACACTCACACACTCACACACACCCCTTCACTATAAACACGCAGTGATCAGTCTCGGTCTGCTCGGTATCAGCTATTGGAAATCAGTCGGTGTGACCCTGAAATGAAACATAACTCATCTGCACCCCCTCAAAGGCTCTCAGCAGGATTAGCCCGGGGTCACTCCAGGTCACTCTGATGATATTGGCTTATATAATGTGATGGATTTTAATGCCCACAGCAGGTGACAGAGGCAATTTATAAATGGTTTAAACACTATAATGTTGTTGTAAACAAGCGATAATGACATTTTTAGGTGTTATAAAGCATCCAGCTGGCGTATTAAGAGATAATAAATGACTGGATGTGGATATGAAATATGTAGAATTTATTTATAATGTTGATTATTGTCTTTTTATTCTGCTAATTAATGACATATTTATTTGGCTACTTGTGAATTATATTTATTAATAAATTAGCGTATTTATTAATTTATATATAATTATTATTCTCTGTTCATGACAGCTGCAACAAGTTATAGTGATATGGGTGAAAGCTCTGAGAGACATTTATACCTAAGTACCACAGATTCACTCCTGAAAACTGTAAAATAAATGAATGAATGAATGAATGAATGAATGAATTAAGAAACATTCTACAGAATTCTGCAGATTAACTCCCGAAAAAAAATGTAAAAAATAAATAGATAGATAAATAAATAAACATCCCGCAGAATTCCACAGATTCACTCCTGGAAACTGTAAAATAAATAAATAAATA